TAGTGTTAATATCAGTACAGACTTGTCTAGTTGACCGTATAAATAATGTTTTCCCTTCTCGTAGTCTCTATGGCGTGTCTTAATGGAGAAAATAAGGATCTCACGGGTTCAGCTCCCTTTGCGTTTAGAAAGACCAGGTTCAGGCAAAGATATCCATTTTTGTTATCAGTCGCATGTCGTCTCATTTCTTCCCTACCTGTTGGAATATGTTTGTGAGCATAATCRTCATAAATTATGTTCCGGATTTTCAGATTTATTTATATGTGGTTAAAATGAATGCTTCTATTTAAAAGGGGAAATATTTCTACATGTGCATATAGTTTTCCAAGAGTGTACCATTAATTAATTGTTGATAATAAAAACCAAAAGCAAATATAGCACCGCAGCCCTTTGGACTTAATTTTAGTCTTTTTAGGGGTGGGAGAGGCTCATTTCTTCTCRCAAAGATTGATGAGGCCCATGGCAGAATCTGGATGGGTCCTCAGCACGACACGGGATCAGCAGCATTRTTTTTAATCTGCAGTAACGTTAGGAAGATCCTAACTCCGGAGCCCGGCCTTGCTGTTCAATTTTGCTTTTATTAATTAGATGCAACAGGCTGATGGGAGGTAGGGAGAGGGGGGAGCTACATCTGACATTTTGCAGCTACTCGGAAGGTCGGAAATGGCCAATTTGGAGCCGTATCCGTTAAAAGAAGAGAAGGCGGCACAAACGCCTGAACTGCAAAGCCGGGCGGGCCCTTCCAGCAGCGCGGCGGGAATCCTCGGCCAGCGGGGCTCCAAGGGAGCCAGGTGGCCACGGGGGACGTCTGGCCTTCAAAGGCTCCCGCTTTGGGGGCAGCAGCCCCTTCTCCCGCTTCATCCATGGGCGGTTGCGAGGCTGGGAGCGGGGCAGAGGCCAAGGGGAGCCCGAGCGCGGAGCCGGCTCCCCAGCTCTCAAAAAGCCAATGGGGGAAAAATACAAACATATATATACATATATCTATATATATGCATCGCAGAGGATGGGATTTGGCTCCCAAGTGAACGCGGCCGCATCTTTCCTCAGCACTGCCAGAGCCCTTGGCGAGGGTGCCACAGCCAAGGGCACGTTTAAAGGAGCCAGTAAAACGTRACAAGGTTTTTGCTCTGACTAGATAAAAACGTCAGTAACTGGTTTTAAAATGCCACAATAAAATATATAGTATGTTTGCCCGAGTTAAAAAAAAAAAAAATCTTGGATATATGTTTTGTTATGATTTGGGTACCTTTTCCCATTTTTCTTCCAGGAATCAGCTAATGAGCTAAGAATATCTCCGTTCAAAATAAATAGTCTGTCTCTAGGGATTACCTGGCTCTAGACTGAAGTGCAGCTTTGCCGATAGCRCAAAGACGTGAGGAGAGTTTCCACCTGGAGAGGCCGCAGACTTTACAGGGCCTGACCTGACACCTGAACCTCCCGCGAAGGCGAGACCCACAGAACTAGAGACCCGTCTGGCAGGAGGGCTTTAACCACAGCCCCTTAACCAGGCCTTGCAGCGGGAAGGGGATCCTCTTCCACTGCTTGGGAAGCCTCAGGAGCCACTAAGGAGTTTTATCCATCTAAACTAATCCAACTGCTTTCTCATGGTTTTACAGAGCGTCAAAGAAAATCCCTCGGATCTTGTTGCCTGACTCCTGCTATATCTCAAGCCATTCACCTTCATAGGTTACTTGGCCCAGTATACTGACTCTATGTTACCTAGCACACATCCTCCAGAAATGCAGTTATGATTTTAAATCATTAAGATATAGCTAACATATTGGATTTATTATACTTATGTATATATGCATTTGACCAACAGTTCTTTACTTCATTTGTTAAATCTGAGGCTTTATTTCTAATGTAAAGGCTCCACTTTCCAAGCACTAGATCTAGTTATGTGTTTCCCTGTTGGACTGGGAACAGTTTAGTATTTAACCGTCATATTTTTATTGTTGTTGTTTTGTTCTAATTTTACTACACTATAAACTGATTTGCATGGCAGCTTTCTTTCTGATCAACTAAGTAGGCTGCTACCTTTAAATGTCCCACACTCTTTAAGGCTCTCCATTTATGAAGGTCTTCCAGAGCTGAACCTACCCTCTCTTGCTGCTGAGGACAAKGTTGTCACAACAAATGGATATCAAAACAGGCCCAGGCAGTGCAGTGATTCTCTCTAATGCTTCATACAGAGCTAAGAGGGCCTCACTTTTCCTGATGATGATTTTCCAGCCTTCTAGGCTTCTCATCTGTCCTTTGTGCCATTCTGGTTAATCTCCCCTTTTCTCTGACCCATAAATCCCTTCTGGAGTCAGTGCTCTCCATGCTATGGCCACCCACTGCCTACAAGAGGTGTGTGACATCCGTCATTCCTAAGGAGCAGCATGTCTGTGTCAGACCAGGTGTAAGGACTGATTCATAAACCCTAGGGATTGCTCACTTAGTAAATGGGTAGTCTGAGAATACAAAATCTTCCTTCCTTCCTTCCTTCCTTCCTTCCTTCCTTCCTTCCTTCCTTCCTTCCTTCCTTCCTTCCTTCCTTCCTTCCTTCCTTCCTTCCTTCCTT